AGAGAGAGAGAGAGAGAGAGAGAGAGAGAGAGAGAGAGAGAGAGAAGCGGGTACGTCGCCAGCGTCTGTTCCCGGCGCAGATGTTGCGTTTTTCACTCTTATCACCATTCCGGGTTGGTGATTAGGGGTAAGGTACAGACACCCTTCCAGGTTTCTTTGGTTGCTTGCGAGATACGCCCATGGACTCTTGAGCATTCTGCGCGGATGCGCCCATGGACTCGTTGAGCATTCTGCACGGGTATGCGCAAAAGGAGAGCATAGCCGTCCTTGATCACTCTTAGTAATGTCCTGTGCGGGAGTCTATATCTGGTTGATTTGTTTTGGGTGGGTTGAGACTGTTGAGTTGGATGCCTGCACCACGCCTTCCACTCACATCTCTGCTATCCTTCTTTGGTCAGACCGTGTATGTGTGACGAGCGACCAACCTAGCAAGCGATCGTGTTGTTGCGGCTAGACTTTGTGTGTGTGTGCGTGTCACGTGTGTGTGTGTGTGTGTGTGTGTGTGCAGTTGTGCGTCTGTGTTCGTGTGCGTGTGTTTGTCCGTATGTATTTCACACAGACTCGCACACACACACACACACACACACAGAGAGAGAGAGAGAGAGAGAGAGAGAGAGAGAGAGAGAGAGAGAGGAGTCTCGGCGGGGCGCGGGGTGGTGCATCGAGCAAGGAGGTAAGGGGTGCGACTCCGTGCGAGTGAGGAAAGCAGAGGGCATACGCCGACAACTCATTGTAGAAGAGTAGCAGGAGTTGTTAAACTCCAGTGTACCATATACTACGTTAGTGGGATTGCAGCAGCAGAAGGGGCTGGCAGAGGAACTGGAGCGAGAGGAGGAAGAGGAACAGCAGCATCTCTGGGAAATAGTGGGAGCCGGTCCCCCTTACTCTAGCATAGGACATAATTGGTAGTGAAGGCAAAGAACAACAACGGCAACTAAAGCGAGAAACATGATTTCGGGAGGGCACCGGGGTCGGTCGGCGGCAAATGCAGCGCTCATCAAGGGAGTTGCTGAGAACAATGTTAGATGCTTGGATCTGAATTCTGCCGGTTTAGATCAGCGGCAGCTTGGGCTCCTCGTATCGGCAATCCCGAAGTCCTCATCGGTGAGTTTTTTTTTTCCTTCAGTTCTCCTCTTTTTGCCTTTACCGTTTTCCCCCTTTTCCCCTTTTTCCCTTTTCCCCTTTTCCCCTTTTCCCCTTTTTCCCTCTGCCCCTCTTCCTCGTCTTCCTCCCAATGCTGCGCCTCTGCTTCGTCCTTCATCAACGCGGTTTGCCTTGAATGCATCTCCCTTCTCTTCTCACTCGTATCTTATTACGTGTATACTTCTTTCCAGTGTATATTTCTTTCCAGTGTATCTCCCTTCTCTTCTCACCCATGACCATTCCAGTGTATACTTCTTCTTGCGTGCTCTTCCCCTGTTCTTATTACCTTTACTGTCCAAGTTGTGCCCTTGTCCCGATCCCGACGGCGAGTTCGTTTCTGTTTCCTCTGCCGGGTATCGTCTCCTGCTATCCGCGTCCATGTCGGGAGCGCATTCTCGCGTCCGCTCCTCTACTCCTTGGATACGTGTGTAGCTCCATTCGAGGCAGTCTCTGCCCGTATCTCCTCAACTCCTCGGTGGCCCCAGTTTCCCGGTGCATGCCTGAGCATTCATTTGGTGCAATATTTTCCGCCGATGAAGCTTCCGCACAACTATCGAGGGCAGATCGACGAGCCATTCGGTGCGAGTAATCCGCCTATAAATCCGTCAGCGACATATGCTGTGGTGTGGTTTCTGCGTAAACGGGTTACAGAAATGCATAAGCTTGCCTCAGATTTCTGATTAATAATTTAATATACGTCCGTCTTCCACCCGGTGGTCCAGGCGGGATCATCGTCCATCGTCCTGTCTGTCCCCCGGGAGCAATTAATGTTATTTGTATTTACTGGTGGTCGTGTCTGGGAGAGAGGTAAGTTGAACCACTCAAAAGCGCTTAAGTTAACACGGACGAACGTCATTGACTTCGGTCTGGGAAGGTGGGCGAATGACTGATTAACATGGAGATCTGGTCCTGTCTGGTCCAGTCTGGTAGTTCGGACATGCCGTATCTTTGGAGGATTGTCCGGTGTGGTCCAGTCGGTCCTGTGTGGTCCACCTTGGTTCGGTGACTTCGGCATGGTCCAGGGGGCGGGCACATATTGTACACGCCGCACTTTGGGCCTTGGACGCTTGTCCGGTCAGTTGGTTCGGGGCTGCTGGTTTAGGACTCTAGGCTGCAGCCGCTGCACATATCGTACACGCCGCACTTTGGGCATGGTCTGTTTTCGACCTTGATCTTACACCCTGGTTTGGGCTTCGTCTATGGCTACCATCTTTTTTGCACCCGGTCGTGTGTGCTCGTGCACTCCCTGCTGGACGTTGTCCACCTACACTCGCGCCATTGCCTGAGCAGTGAGCAGGAATCGGTCTCTCCCGTCAGTCCGATTTCTCTCTGCTCTCATTTGCCACGGCAATTCTCTTGGCAGTAGTGTGTTCTTCCATTGTCGTCAACAAATGTACAAGAGAGGGTTTTTGGTGAGGGAGGAGAGGGAGAATTGAAGGCCCGTAAGATCAGACTGAGCCCACGGTTGAGCTGGTGAAACGTGCACCTGGGCAGACCCACCGGCTTCGAGGTTTGCTGCACTGGTTATTGATCGTCAGGGTGAAGCCGTCATTAAACTCATCCAGTAACACACTCCTGCACGTGCCGACTCACAAGCGAGCAGACACATTACAGATAGGCGACTAGTGGATAGGTCAGCATGTGTGTGTGTGTGTGTGTGTGTGTGTGTGTGTGTGTGTGTGTGTGTGTGTGTGTGTGTGTGTGTGTG